CCATACTTCCTATATATATATATGGTGTCACTGCTTTATATTCAATTATTCAGCGCTGAATTGTATTTGTTTTTAGTAAATAACGGGGTTAATACAATAAGCCTTTTCTTGAATATTTTTCTATTAGGAGTGTAAGTAACTTAGGTATTGTTTGAGATATTATATTTCGTTACAAGTTGGTCACCAAGACAAAATATTGAAGTTATAACTGTATTTATTGTCTGTCTCTTAGCCAGTTTTTAAATGGTAAAGTCCTGCTATATCCCGGGGTATTAGTGGACTGAAGGTGCTTTGTTACGTTTTTTTCTTCCATCCATTTGACGCTATTCAATTTTAGGTTTCAGTTTTTATATCATCACAACATTTTTGTACCTGTAGAATACCTTCTGCAGTTTCACTCAAAAATTACTTTTAATCTCTGAAATATTCCTTCACATTGTCGTAAAATATACATTTACCTAAAGGTTCCATGAATATTAACACATTTTAGTCCTAAACGAGTCCATGACAATGTGAAATCTCTCTATACATCAACCGGAAATGAAATGGAAAATAATTTCCTGTAACAATCAATTTTCTTCTTAAATCAGTTGACATTTTTCAAACTCTTGTGTTATCTTTTTTGAAAAGTAATTAAAACATTGTTGTCCTGAGTGGCGTGTGTTACATACAGTACTGGAAACAAACAAAGTAATTAAAACATTGTTGTCCTGAGTGGCGTGTGTTACATACAGTACTGGAAACAAACAAGCATTGTTTGACATTGATGTTCGTTAAAGGGTTTAACCGTGTCATCTAACCAGATCAAGACATGAAAGATTTTGTTGTGACATTTACTTTAAAAGCGCCAAGTTTTCTCAGATCATTTCAATACATAAAACACTGTAGTAGTTTCTTTGGTAAGAGTGAAAGTTGGAGTGTTTTCGGCTACGTTTGATAAATATCTAAAATTATTACACCCACTTTTTATAAAAGTAAGGTCTTACTACTTGTGCTTTAATGCAGGTAAGTAATTATTGTCCATTTAAATTTTTTCTATGGCGTTTTTCCAAATCGTCAGTGTTACCGTCACTATTTTCTATTTTTGCTTAGATTCATTTTTAGAAGTTGTTTTTCAACAGGATCGTAATCTCTGTATTTATGTTTTGTATACGAAAGAGAACAATTAAAGTGTTTCCAAAGAAAATCTTGAAACGATTGTACAGCTGATTTATCTAAAGATTAGCGAACGAAACTGGTACGGGACTGTATGTTTGATGACTTCTGATGACACGGCTGTGAAGTTAACTTGGATACTAGTGGGTTATCCGGCCTGATTTACAAGACCGATAAATAAGGACCGTATGCAGCCGTTCATTTCAACCCTGAAGGTATGTTTGGTAACGTCTCTGAATGATCAGCTACATGACTTCAAGTAATAACGACTTACGCAGACATTCACGAAGCTTTAACAAAACAACAACAATCTGTAATGATACGACAAGCGCCCCTAGTTACGGTTAGTCAGTTGAATTGGTCAAAAATAGTGATCATGATTTGTCTTGTGGTCAGGTAAGCCTAAATGTCGCGTTGTTTAATGCTTCCTAACACACATCTCAAGATTAACTATGATACCAGACATAAAACCTCCCTTATTTTGTGGTGAGGTAAGCCTAAATGTCGCGTTGTTTAATACTTCCTAACACACATCTCAAAGTTAAATATGACACCAAACTTAAAACCTCCCTTGTTTTGTGGTGAGGCAAGCCTAAATGTCGCGCTGTTTAATGCTTCCTAACACACATCTCAAAATTAAATATGACACCAAACACAAAACCTCCCTTGTTTTGTGGTGAGGTAAGCCTAAATGTCGCGCTGTTTAATGCTTCCTAACACACATCTCAAGGTTAACTATGACACCAAACACAAAACCTCCCTTGTTTTGCTGGAGGGAATTTAGTGCAGCTGTTATCTGATTTCGTTATAATAGAATGAACACTTGTTTCAGTTAATAACAATTTTCCTTGTTATCCACTTTAGTAGGATAATGGTGACAGAGTAGAACCTTCATTAAAAGCTGATGTTATAATTATCAAGAAAGAAAACCATGTGAATCCTGTTTTCGTATGGTCTATAATTTTTTCACAACAACACTATATATTTAAATATAATTAAAACGGTTTTGTAAACTTTCGACTTTCCTTTCTTCATCGTTTATAAATGTCTAACAAAGTGTCCATCGTGTGATTTTTATATAGTAATCCAACATCTTCATCTTTTATAAATGTCTAACAAAGTTTCCCTCGTGGGATTTTTATATAGTAATCCAACATCTTCATCTTTTATAAATGTCTAACAAAGTGTCCATCGTGTGATTTTTATATCGTAATCCAACATCTTCATCTTTTATAAATGTCTAGCAAAGTGTCCATCGTGTGATTTTTATATCGTAATCCAACATCTTCATCTTTTATA